CCCAAGACGCGCCCAGAGGCCTCCAGGAGGGCCCCAAACGGCCCCACACGGCCCCACACGGCCCCACACGGCCCCAGAACGGCTCCAGAGGCACCCGAGACGGCTCAAGACGCGCCCAAGACAGCTTCAGAGCACCCCTGAGAGCCCCAAGACAGCCCCAGGGGCCCGCAAGGCCAGGAGGCTCCCAAGATGGCTTAGAAGGGCCTCCAGGAGAGCCCCAAGAGGCCAAAATCGTCCCATTCCCGACGGGAAACGCACATGTTCACTATATATAATTTTGTCGTCCTCGCAGCGCCCAAGACGGCTACTCAGGCCCGCAGCTCGCCCGAAGACGCGCTCAGAGGCCCCCAGGAGTGCCCCCCAAAAGCCCCACAGACGGTACAAGACGCACGCAAGACAGCCCCAAGAGCAGTTCATATTAGCCCTAGACGGCCCCCGCGCCCCGTCTCCAAGACGGCTGTGCAGGCCCCCACCGCCCCGTCTCCAAGCCTTTCCATCTGCACAGCCTCCCGGACGACTGTACAGGCCCCCCGCCGCACCCAAAACGGCCCGGGACGGCTCCAGAAGCGCCCGAGACAGCCCAAGAAACATCCAAGACAGCCCCAAGAGCGCCCAAGGTCGGCCCAAGATGGCCCCAAGACGGCCTCAAGATGGTCCGAGAGGCGCCCGAGACGGCCCCACATCGCCCAAAGGCAGCCCAAGAGGCATTCAAGACGGCCCAAGAGGCCCCCAGAGACCACCAGGAGGACGAAAAGAGGCCCCTAAACGGCCCCCAAGAGGCCTTGGATCCTTCTTTCTTGGGGAGCGTCGAACTTCCAGCGTCGTCTGAGGGGCTTCTTGGACCCTCTGGGAGCCATCTCTGCGCCTTTGGGGGACGTCTTGGGGCGGTGCGCTCGAAAGGCCGATTCGTGTCCTCGCACTGGGGCCCGAATTAGGGTCCCTAATTCGGGCCCTTTGGGGCCGTTTAAGAAGCCTCGTGGCCCGTCCTGGAGACCTTTTGGGCCGTCTCGCCGCCCTCTTGCGGGCCTCTTAGGCCGCGCCCACCGGCCCCATTGTCACCACACTACCAGGTAAAATTGTCATTCGGCCCCGGCGAGGGGCAGATACAATTATCACGGCTACCCTCCCCGCAGAAGTTGTGATGAACACATATTGCGGCGTGAGAAAAACAGCTTTCGTCCACACCATGTCATGTCTGCATGGGTGTGCTTCCACTGACACCGCCTCTACCATCGCGTTCCTGCCTTCAGGCCTGCTTGCCTGCATCCCTCGCCCGCCTCCCCCTCCAGCGGCCACCTCCTCCATCCACGCCATCTCCTCCAACCTCCCCTCGCATGCGAGGCCCTGGAGACGCTCCACTTCCACGTCCACGCCATGGCGGGCAGATTCCGCGGCCAGAAGGCCGCGGGTCCGCCCGAGTCAGCTACAGCGCAGCGATCAGCGCGTGCGAGAAGGGCGAGCAGTGGCAGCAAGCTCTGGCGCTGTTCAGCGAGATGTGGACGGCGAAGCTGGAGCCCGATGTCGTGTTCTTTACTACGCTGCAGGGCCTTGTGCGTATCGGAAGTGCCGGCGCCCGTTAAGGCTCCGCATCTCCTGGGTGCGCCCCGAGAGCCCTGATGCAACCAAGATGCCCCTAGCAGAGCCCCGATGCCACCAAGATGACGTCAACCAGCCCAAGACGGGCCTCCACAGAGCCCAACACATGGCAGAAGTTGGCTGCAGTGGTGGCAGCAGGCAGCAAGCAAACAGCAGCAGGCAGCGGATACGGTAGGTTCGCGTCGTGTCGACAGGCGACGACCCCGCCGCCCGCGTTCAACGTTGAACGCCGACGGCGACCCACAGTCGGTCGATGTTGACGATCTGGCGTTCCGAAAACGGCCGATCGTTTAAGATTGAGCCATCCCCGCGGTGTCAGGAACCAACGCCGGGTCGACGCGACACGAACCTGCCCTAGCAGCACGCACCATGCAGAATTGGCCATCAGCAGCACCGTGCAGCCAGACGCAGCAATGATACGCAGCAGTGGCAAGCATTACCAACAGCACGCAACAGTGGCAGCGCGCAGCAGCACGCAGTAGCATGCGCGGGATGCGAGGGTCGAGCCCCGCATCGTCATTTCAGCCTTGCCTTTCGGCAGCATGTTCACCATCACGTGCCAGTTCGTGTAAATTTTGTGGACGTCCACAGGTCAGTCCGAGTCTCTTCTCTATGGCAGACGGAAGCGCGTGCGAAATGGGCAAGCACTGCCCCCCCCCCCTGGAGGGCCACTTTTTCGACACCCCTCACGAGGATCTTCGCCCCCGAGGGTCAAAAATCGAGCCCGCCGCCCCAAAAATGGCCGAAGTGGCCAGAAGAGGCTCCGACGAGCGCCCAAGAGGCTCGCTACAGGCTCCCGCCAGGGCCCAAGAGGCCTCCAAGAGCCTCCAACCGTCCTCCGAAGCATGCCCCCAGAGGCCAACATCCTGAATTGTTCAATGGTTTCTGAAGGAGTTTTGCCTTCTCGCCTTCTCGTCTAGCCGACGCTCCAAGACGGCCGAAGAGACTCACAAGACCGCCCCAGGACGGCCCAACAGGCCTCCAAGCGCGTCCCCCGACGGCCCAGGGAGCCCCAAGATGGCCCAAGAGGCGCCCAGGCCGGCCCCAGAGGACCCCAAGCCAGGCCCGAGAGGAGGCCAAAGAGCGGGGAAAACCCTGACACTCCGAGCCCTGGGCCCCCATACGCCCACACAAGGCCCCAAGACCCCCCCAAGGGAACGCCAAGAGGTCCCCAGAGGTCACCAAGAAGCCCAAAGCAAGCCCCACGAGGCCCCAAGAGGCCCCAAAGCTGCCTCCAAGAGGGACCCCAGAGGCCTCTCAGCCACCACCCAGGCACAGGCATGGTGGCGGATTTCGCCGAAGGCCATGCGGCTTCCCAGACGGCCCCACGGTGGCGGCTTTCCCTGAAGGCCCTGAGGCTTCATAGACGGCCCAAGACGGCCACCCGACTCCCAGGATACCTCCTACCCGCCTCAGGAGCTTCCCGTGATACCTCCCAGACGATCCCAGACGGCCTCAGGGCTCGAAGACGCCCACGATAGCTTCCACAGGCCCGAGACAACTCCAAGATGCTCCATCTGGGCTCGAAGCAGCGCTCTAATAGAGCTCGAACGCGGAGACATATGCCCCAATCCCTCAGGAAAGCGGCTACTTGCGCTCTTCCCCTGCTCGTCGTCTTCAAAGCGTCCGACACTGCCATACAGGCACCCGAGATCGCTCAAAGACCCTTCAGGTGCCTCCCATCACGGCGTCAAAACGGCCCTGGACGGCCCCAGAACGCCTCCGGAGATTCCCAAGACGCCCCGAAGATGGACCCAAGCCGGTCACTACACCGCCCTCTGGTAGTCGCCTCCTTGGAGCGCCTTCTTAGACCCAGGCAGAAGCGCGTGCCAAAAGGGCAGGCCGTGAAGTGGCTAAACTCGCCCCTTACGGCCCCACCCAGTGGTCGAATCGCCCACGAGGGCCCAAGAGGCGCCCCAGAGGGGTTGCACGACGGTCCAAGAGCGCTCCCAAAACGGCCTCAGTTGTTCCCGAGACGGGCCTCGAGGCCCCAAACAATTCAGAAGGTGGCTCCAAGACGGCCCAAGAGGCCCTAAAGACGCTCCGATAGGGCCCCGAGAGGACGCCAAAGAGGCACAAATCGTCACATTCCGATGGGAAAGCGTACATTTTCAGCATATCCGCTTTTTGCGTCGTTACACGGTCCAGGACAGGCCAAGAGGCCCCCCCTAAACCCCCCAAGACAACCCAAGCTGCCCCCAAGACGGCCCAAGACGGCCCCAGGACGGCCCAGGACGGCCCCATGACTGCTACTCAGGCGCCAACGGCCCAAGAGGCACCCAAGGCAGTCCCAAGACCGGCCAATGACAGCCCAAGACGGCCCCAAGCAAGCCCCAGAGGCGTCCAAGACGGCCTCAGACGGCCCCAAGACCACCCAAGACAACCCAAGAGGCCCCCAGGAGGCAGCAAGACAGTCCAAGGGGGCCCCAAGAGGCCCCCAGAAGGCTGACAAGAAACCCCGACAGGCCCCCAAACGGGTCCCAAGGAGAAGGAAGCGCCCGCCATCAGTGGCCGTTTAGGGAGCGTTGCCTTCCTCCATGTGTACGGGCGCGAGCGAAAGTTCGCCGAAGAATGAACAGCAACATGGGCACGTCTTTTCTTTACTATTGCCTCCCAGCTCCAGGGCGCCCTTCGCCGCTGCCGCCAAAGTGTGGCGAGATACACCAGAGGCCTCCAGGGAGCGCAGTCCCCAACACAGTTTGATCCCAAAGGGGCGCGGAGACGGCACCCAAAAGTATGTGGCGCCCTGCGCGTCCACAGTGAGCTCCCATGCACAGTCCACTGTGCGACATTCCGAGTGCCCTGGGGCAGCATCGATCTCTTCCGTGGGCACGGCGCAGACAGCAGCAGCGGCGGCACACACCAGGAGCAAGCAGCGGCAGGCAGCGGGTAGAAGCACGCACCAAGCGGAATTGGCCATCAGCAACAGCTTGCAGCCAAAAGCAGCAAGAACACGCAGCAGCGGCCTCAAGCACTGCCAACAGTACGCAAAAGCGGCAGCAAGCAGCAGCACGCAGCAGCATGCGCGGAATGTGAGGTCGGGCCCCGCAATCAGATGCCAGTTCGTGCAGATTTCGTGGACAGAGTCCGCGGGTCAGCCCTACCGACGTCGCCAGCGTCATTCCGGTGCCCATAACCCACGACGACGACCACCACCACCACGACAATGACGCCGTGCGACGGGTACGACGGCGGCCTCACGGCGGCGACGACAACGACGACGCCGACGATGGCGGCGACGACGGCGTCCCCGCGACGGCCAAGCTGCTAGAGCGCTGCGAGAGCTCGGACACGAGGGCGCCCTGGCCGCCGCCGTGCTGATAGGTTTTCGGCAAAATCTCCGCCGTTCCTCCGAGAACCATTCCAGAAAGATGTCGTGGACGGAGTCCACGGGTCAGCCCTAGTCAGCTACAGCGCTGGGGTCAGCGCGTGTGAGAAGGGCCAACAGTGGCAGCGGGCCCTGGCGCTGCTTAGCGAGATGTGGGAGGCAAAGCTGGAGCCCGACGTCGTCTCTCCTACAATGGCCGGACCAGCGCTCGCGGAGCTGCCGATCGGTGGCAGCGGACCGGCCGTCTCCGGCGGCCCCTGCGAGCCCCAGCAGTCCTCGGCGCGCTTCCAAGATGGCCCAAGAGCGTTCCGAGACTCACGAGGAGGCCCCCTAGAGGGCCCCCAGACGGCCGAAGACGGTCCGACGCCCCAAGTGGGCCCCCCGACGACGAGCCCCAAGAGAGCCCGAACACCGACAGATTGTCAAATTTCTTTGGGAAAACGTGCGTTTTGGCAGTTCCCGGGCTTGCCCACTTCAAAGCGTCCAAGACGGCCGCACAAGGTCCCAAGATGGCCCTATGACGGCTCCTGAGGCGCCCTTGGCGGCCCACGGGGTACCCAAGACAGCCTAAAGAGCGGCCCAGGACGGCCCTAGACGACCCGCAGACGGTGCCCAGACTGCTCCACAGACGCCCAAGACAGCCCCAGACAATTCCCAGACGGCCCCAGGCCGCTTCTATGCGGCCTAAGGGGCACCCGAGACGGCCCCAGAGGGCCTCCGGAGGCTTCCAGGAGGCTGCAGAGCAGCGCTGTGAGGCTTTTAAACGATCCTCAGAGCCCAAGAAGCACCGAAGACGGAAGACAGCACCAACAGCAGCCCAGGACGGCCTAAGATGGCCACAAACGTTCCCAAAACGGCTCCCAGCGCATCATGGGGCTTTGATGCTTGTTCGACACTCCCTGCCAGATTGGGCCCAAAATTCCTCGCCATTTTTGTCGGTCTGGAGCCCTCTCCACGGCCTCTTGAGGCCATGCTGTGTTTCGTTTTTCTGTTGGCCCAGAATCGCCTCGCCTCGAAGGTTTTCACAGCTTCGGGAGGTGTTTGAAGCAGGCCCCAGGGGTCTCTTGGCGGGTCACGGCCATGCCTTATCATGATAGGGCAGGTTTTCAACGCTTCGATCCACTTTGGGCTATCTCCAGCTCTTATCGGGGATCATTTCGGGTCATCGTTGGGGCATGGGGTATTTTGGCGGGTCTCGGCCCTGCCCTATCATGATAGGCCAGGTTTTCGACGCCGTCTCGGACCTCTTTGAGCCATCTCCGGCTCCTATCGGCGATCATTTCGGGCCATTTTTGGGGCTTCATTTGGTATTTTGGCGGTTCTCGGCCTTGCCCTATCATGATTGTGCAGGTTTGACACAGCCTCAAGACAGACGGCCCAGGAAGGCCTCAGCACGGCCCAAGAGGCACCCGAGACAGTCCAAGAGGGCCAAAGGAGGCTTCCAGGAGGCCGAAAAGAAGGGTTGAGAGGGTCCTACACGGCCCACAGAGGTCCCAAGATGACGGTCCAAGAAGCACCGAAATCGGCCTAAGACGGCCCGAAGACGGTCCCAAGACGGCTCCAAGCGCACCTTGGGGCTCCTCGGCCCTTTTGATGCTTGTTTGGCGCTCCCTGCCGAATTTGGCCCAAAATCACTCGCCATTGTTTGTCAGTCTGGAGCCCTCTCCGCGGCCTCTTGGGGCCATGCCGTGTCTCGCTCTTGCAGCCCTCTCGGGGGCCTCTTGGGCCAGCATGGGGCCATTCAGGAGGCGTCTGACGCGCGCTGGGCGGGATCCTGGGTCGGCGGCGCGGTGGCCCAGAACAGGTACCGCCGATTCTGGGCCGGCGGGCCGGCGGCCCAGAATCGGCGGCGTCAGCACCCCTTCACACCGCAAGTGGACGTAGTCCACGGGTCAGCCCTAGTCCATACTAATGCAGGGCTCCGCGCGTGCGGAATAGGCGATTCGGGCCAAGATGGCGTAGCAGGCCCCTGCGAGCCCCAGCAGGCCCCGACGCGCTCCGAGACGCTCCAAGGTGGCCCAAGTTCGGGAGCGGAAAAGAGGGGGGTGATGACTAGGGGGGGGGGGATGTCATGGCGCGGGCCATGATTTTTCCGCAGATTTCATGGCGCCTCTTCTTATTCTATTACGTCCCAGGCCCCCCCGCTGGGCCGCGCACATGCCGCCGGTCATGATTTGCACCCCCCCCTCTTGGACACCCCCCTCTTGGCCGCTCCCGACAAGTGCGCTCCGAGACGCCCCGGGAGGCCTTGACGAGGGCTTCAAGACGACCCAAGAGGGCCTCCGAAAAGGACCAAGAGCGCTCCCGCGCTTTGCGTCCGCAACGCGTTCAACACGGCCATACAGACCCTCAAGATCACCCCTCTGGAAGCTCCCATGACGGCCCCGAGACGGCTTCACGGCGCCCATGGCAGCCCAAGAGGCAGCCATGACAGCGCCGAGACGGTCCCTAGACGGCCCAAGACCGCGACGGTCTCCAGACGGCCCCAGAGGCGCCGAAGACGTCCACACACGGCCCCAAGACGGCCCCAGAGGCGCCCAAGACGGCCACACACGGCCCAAAGACGGCCCAAGAGACACCCAAAACAATCCAAGAGGGCCCCAGGAGGCCCCATGAGGCCCCCAGAAGACCGAAAAGAAGCACCGAGAGGGCCCCAAACGGTTCCAAAGAGCCCCCAAGATGACGACCCAAGAGGCACCGACGCCAGGCCCAAGAGCAGCCAAAGACGGCCCCAAGACAGCCCAAAAGGGCCCGAGGAGGCTTCCAGACGCTCTGTTATGGCCCTGCGTGTGCGAAAAGTACGATTCGGACCAAAATGGCGTAACAGGCGCCCCTGCAGCCCGCGCTCTCCGAGACGCGCCAAGATGGCCCAAGAGCGCTACGAGACGCCCCTGGAGGCTCCCACGAGGGCCCCAAGACGGCCCAAGAAGGCCCAAGAGGGCCTCCGAGAGGGTCCAAGAGCGCTCCAAGACGCCCAAGATACCCTCCCGACGGCCCAAGAGGCCTCCCAAGACGCTCCAAGTGGGCTCCAAGACGAGCCACAAGAGAGCACGAACAAGGAAAAATCGTCACAATCCTTAAGGACAGCGCACATTTTCGCAATTCGGAAAACGCACATGTTCGCAAGTCCCGTGCTTTTCATTTTCAAAGCTTCCGAGAGGACAATTCACGCCCCCAAGATCGCCCCAGGGCGCCTCAGGAGCGTCCCATGAGGGCCCCAAGGCGGCCCAAGACGACCCCAGGACGGCCCAAGACGGCCCCAGGGCCGCTCTTGAGGCGCCCACGACGGCCCAAGAGTCACCCAAGGCAGCACCAAGAGCGGCCAAAGACGGCCCAAGACAGCCCCAAGCGGGTCCCAGAGGCGCCCAAGAGGGCCCCAAGATGGCCCAAGGGGCACCCAAGGCGGCCTAAGAGGGCCCCAAGAGGCCCCCAAGAGGTCGCACGACGGTCCAAGAGGTCCCCAGGAGGCCGAAAAGAAACCCGACAGGCCCCCAAACGGTTCCCAAGGAGAAGGAAGCGTCCGCCATCAGTGGCCGCATGGGAGCGTTGTTCTCCTCCGTGGGTGAGGGCGCGAGCGAAAGAGCGCCGAAGAATGAACAGCAACATGGGCACGACTTTTCTTTACTACTGCCTCCCAGCTCCAGGGCGCCCTTCGCCGCTGCCGCCAAAGTGAGGCGAGATACACCAGAGGCCGCCAGGGAGCGCAGTCCCAAACACAGTCTGATCCCAGAGGGGCGCGGAGACGGCGCCCAAAGGACGTGGCTCCTTGCGCGTCCACGGTGAGCCCCCATGCACAGTCCACCGTGCGACATCTCGAGTGCCTTGGGGCAGCATCGATTTCTCCCGTGGGCACGAAGCAGACAGCAGCAGCGGCGGCACACAGCAGCAGCAAGCAGCAGCAGGCAGCGGGTAGAAGCACGCACCAAGCGGGCGGTCATTAGCAACAACCTGCAGCCACAAGCAGCAAGAAAACGCAGCAGCGGCCGCAAGCATCACCAAGAGTGCACAAAAGCGGCAGCAAGCAGCAGCACGCAGTAGCATGCGAAGAATGCGAGGTCGGGCCCTGCAATCAGATGCCAGTTCGTGAAGATTTCCTGGACGGAGTCCACGGATCAGTCCTACCGACGTCGCCAGCCTACTTCCGGTGCCTGCAACCCACGACGACGACCACCACCACGACAGCGATGCCGACTACGACGGGTACGGCGGCGGCCTTGCGGCGGCGACGACAACGACGCCGATGATGACGGCGACGACGGCGGCCCCGCGACGGCTCAGCTGCTGGAGCGCTGCTAGAGCTCGAACACGAAGACGCGGTCTCGCTGCCGCCTCCCCAGCCGCCGCCGTGCTTATAGGTATTCGGCAAAATCTCCGCCGTTCCTCCGAGAAACATTCCAGAAAGATCTAGTGGACGGAGTCCACGGGTCAGCCCCAGTCAGCTACAACGCTGTGATCAGCGCGTGCGGGAAGGGCGAGCAGTGGCAGCGGGCCCTGGCGCTGCTCAACGAGATGTGGGAGGCGAAGCTGGAGCCTGACGGCATCCAAACTGCAATGCCATCAGCGCCCGGTGCCAAAATCAGGTGAACCATCAGTGGCGCGGCAGGCCCCGGCGCACTCCAGGGCGGCCGAAGATGACCACACGGGAGTTCCACGACGTTCGAAAGAGATGCGCTATTCCGCCCAAGTGGGCCGCAGGACGGCCTAGAGTTATGATGTTCCAACCTGCTTTAGCCTTGATCGCCAAAAAGGATTTCGAGCACCAGTGAAGTACCGAAATTGGAGGGGTTTCACGTGTCGGGCCCTGGGAGGCGATATTCGTTCGACATTGATTGTTTCGATATTTTCCTGGGTGCTCGAAATTATTTCTGGGATGTGGCCCTCCAGCACGATGGGAGCAACATAAGCCTAGAGAGCTCCAAGAACACCCTCAGAGCAGCCACGATGGTCCCAGAGGCTCCCCGAGATCGCCCCGCGACGGCCCGAGAGCACTCTAGGAGAAGGGCCCCCCAGACTGCCCAACAGGGCTCTAAGACGTGCCAGGTGGCCCCCGAGACGGACCAACCGGCCGACAAGGTGACCCCCAACACGTCCCCACGGCTGCACAGCGGAGGGCTTGTCGGCAGCATTCCCGCCGCCACTGCCAAACTTACTTCGGCTAAGAATCGTGGACGTGACCCGCTCGCTGGAGTAGATGGGGTCGAAGGACCCTGCCGCATCGCCGATGTATCGACGATGCGACGATGCCGTTTTCTCCATCCCGATGTCGCTGATGCATCGCCGACGTCGCCGATGCATCGCCGATGTGGCGCGACCCTCCAGCCCTATCTACTTTGGCACCCTCCAGGAGGCCTCTACTTTTGTAGTCTCCTCTGCAATGCCTGCAGTGCCGCGTGCCGCGTGCCAGAAGTGTGCGAGACTCGGGTGAACGAAAGGCCGCCTGGCAGTCCCTGGTCAGGGGCCTCGCTCCAGCACGGCCCAGGAGGGCCTCCGCGAGAAGGCCCAGGAGCGTCCCAAGTGCGGCCCAAGATGCCCCCGCAACTGCCCAAGGGGCTCCCACCGCGCCCAAAGGCCGCTCAAAGGGAACCCTTGGGAGAGCCTCCAGGAGCAAAACGATCAGGAGGGGAAGAAGCACACAGACACAAGTTAGGAAAATATAGAAAGTGAGTGGGGGGGGAGACGACACTGCAGAACAATAAAGGGAATCCTTGGATCTGTGTGTATCCATTTGTGTGTCCCTGGGCCCCTTCAAAAGAGTAGTACAAAGGATTGATTGCCACTCATATTTGGACGGATGTTCGCGTGCTTTGTCAGGCCTTTGGGCGCCCAGGCCACCCCAAGAGGCCCCCGAGATCGGCCAACCACAGCCCTGGAGGCCTCAGAGAGCCCCAAGACGGCCCAGCGTGCCTCCAGGGCGGCCCAAAGGGGCTCCCAAAACGGTCCGAGAGGCCGCCAGCAGGACTCCGAGGCAGGCTGCAGGCGGCCCAGGAACGCTCCAAGATGGCCCCAGGGCATTCCCCCAAGCGTCCCAGGAATCCCCCAGATCAGCTCCCAGTGGTACCAGAGGCCGCCCAGAGGAGACCTGGGAGGGCCCCATGCGAGCCCAATGAGCTCCAAAGAAGGCCCCACGAGACCTCGGAGTCCCCCGAGAGGCCTCCCCTCACGAGGCCCCAAGAACCCCCCAAGCGGTCCTACCCCTCCCGCGTTCTCCATCCTCTGATCTCCACCTTCCCCCTGCCACTCTCTCCTCGGCCGTCGCTCCTCTCTTCTCGCGTTTCGCTGTCCCCTGCTCGCTTTTTCTCCCTCCTCTTTGCTTTTTTGTCCCTCCTCGATCTCCTTGTTCATGACATCACGATCCCTTCTCAGCGGCAGGCTGCGTCACTAAGCCGAATTCGCGATAAGCAGCAGCAAGCAGCGTCATCAGGCAGGCGAACGGTAGGATCACGCAGCGCGAAGCAGACAGCAGCAGCGTCAGCAGCAGCGGCAGCGGCAGCAGCAGCAGCAGCGGCAGCAGCAGCAACAGCAGCAGCGTCAGCAGCAGCGGCAGCAGCGGCAGCAGCAGAAGCAGCGGCAACAGCAGCAACAGCAGCAGCGTCAGGAGCAGCGGCAGCAGCGGCAGCAGCGGCAGCAGCAGCAGCGGCAGCAGCAGCAACAGCAGCAGCGTCAGCAGCAGCAGTAGCAGCAGCAGCAGCGTCAGCAGCAGCAGTAGCAGCAGCAGCGGCGGCGGCAGCAGCAGCAGCAGCGGCAGCAGCGCCGCAGCAGCAGCAGGCAGCGGGCAGCAGCCCGCACCAAACACACTGCAGCCACGACCATCAACAGCAGGCAGCAGCTGGAAGCATTACTCTGCACGAACGAGATGGGTACGGAAAGAATGGGTACAATGCCCAACAGCGGATCCTGTTCATTTTGAACAGGGCTCGCTGTCCGCGCCGCCGCGGCCTGTGTCCATTTGAGGCAGAAGGCCGCCTGCCCAACAGCGGCCGCTATTGGTTTGGGACAACATTTGTTGTTGGGCATTGTACCCATTCTTTCCGTGCCCATTTCGGGCGTCCAAAAATTACCGACAGCAAGAAGCAGCGGCAGCAAAAAGCATCACGTAGTAGCATACGCGGAATGCGAATGCTGTGCCCCGCTTTCTCGTTTCAGCCTTTCGGCAGCTTGTCCAGGATGACATGCCCGTTCGTGCAGATGTCGTGGACGTCCACGGGTCGGCCCTAGTCTCTCCGAATGCAGCGTTCACCGCTCGCCAAAGTGTTGAGCAGTGGCAGCGGACCAGTCCCCTCCGGCGGCCACCGCCGCGGCCCCGGGGCCCTGGCGCGCTTCCAAGATGGCTTACGAGTGCTCCGAGCAGCCTCCAGAGGCCCCCAAGAAGGCCCGAAGACGGCCGAAGGCGGTCCGAGAGGGCCTCCGAGATGGGCCCCGAGCGCCCCGAGACGCCCAAGACAGCCGCCCGACGGCCCAAGAGGCCCCTAAAATCCAAGTGGGCTCCAGAGAGGGCCCCAGGAGAACCCGAACAAGGAAAAATCGTCCCAATCCCCGGAGCAAACGTACATTTCGGGAGTTTCGTGCTTTTCGTCTTCGAAGCGTCCAAGACGGTCACACAGGCCCTCAAGATCGTCGCAAAACGTCTCAGGAGCCTGCCAGGAGGGCCCCAAGACGGCTCAAGACAGCGCCAGGACGGCTCTTCAGGCGCCCGTGATGGCCCCAAGAGGGAGCCAGGACAGGGTGGGAACGCTCCCGAGGGGCCCCGAAAGGGGGCCAGGAGGGCCCCAAGAGGACCCCGACAAGGCCCCATGACGCATGTATTTGGGAACCCCTCTCGCAAGCCCAAGGAGCATATCAAGTTCAGGCCCTCTTGGGGCCCCCTGGGGGGCGCTCTTGCCGCCCTCTTGAGGCCTTTGGGTCCCTCCAAGACAGGGCCAGGTGCATTCTGCCACAGAGGGGCCTCTCGTAGCAGACTGGTGGGCCCGCGCCCGGCGGCGTCCCGGGGTCCTCTTGGAGCCGTCTTGGAGCCCTCTGCGGGCCCTCTTCGTGCCCTCTGGCACGACGGCCCCAAGACGGTCCCGACACTGCCCCAGAAGCGCTCAAGACGGCCCCACACGGCCGCGCGGTCGCGCGACCCGCGGCCCCGGCGAGGACCTTCCATCTGGCATGTGGCTGCCGCCTGCAGACACACCCATGGTCCCCGCCGCCAGTGGCATCAAGCACGGGTACACACTAGTCAGCTACTGCGCTGTGGTCAGCGCGTGCGGGAAGGGCAAACAGTGGCAGCGGGCCTTGGCGCTTCTAAGCGGGATGTGGGAGGCGAAGATCGTGCCCGACGACGTCCCATACAGCGCTGTGATCAGGGCGTGCGAGAAGGGTGCGCAGTGGCAGCGGGCCCTGACGCTACTCAAGGAGATGCCGGAGGCGAAGGTAAAGCCCACCGTCATCATCAGCAGCATTATCATCATCGACATCGTCATGAGCAGCAGCAGCAGCAGCAGCAGCAGCACCATCACTAGCCTCATCATCCTCATCACCATCACCATCATCACCATCACCATCACCTTCTCCTCCTCCTCCTCGTCCTCATTCTCCTCATCATCATCACCACCATCATCAGCATCGTCATCCTTACAGTACCAGAACGAGAGCGCGCGAAAAGGGTCTGTGCACTGAGTGGTTCACGGCGGCTCCGAGCCCTTCGCGACGGCGCTCCGAAGGCCCCGGCACGACCCGGGACGCTTCGGAACGTGGTGCCCCGACGGCCACCCAAGACGGCTCGGAGACGCCCTTAGACAGGCTCGCAGGAGGCCGACCACGCGTCCCACACAGTCCGAGGGACGCCCGAGCTGTTGCATTTCGACGAGCTGTTCACCAACGGTCTGCGAGTCCCATGCTCAGCACCGAGTCCCAGATTCAGCAGTTGGGGGGAGCAAAGGCCAACAACAAACATGACCATCACCATGACCATCAGCAGCAACATCATCATCTTCTTCAGGTTCAGCACATCGTGGATGTATAACCCACGGGTTCGCACTAGCCTCTCCAACAATACCGGGACGGATTGGGAGGGTTTCTGCATCAGTGGGTCCCTCCCGGCCCTGCAGCGGGCCTGGGGTGCCCCAGGTGTGCCCCGACACGGCCTCCGGCGCCTCAGGACGGTTTTGAGACGCCCGAGGGAGCGCGAGGACGGCCTCAGAGCGCCCCCAGGGAGCCCCAGGACAGACCCAGAGGCCCCCAAGACAGACCAGGAGGCTCCGAAGACGGCTCAGGAGGACCACCCAGGAGAACTCCACGAGTCCAAATACATACCATTGTTTGTTTTGAAACCGTGCAGTTTTGGTATTCTCGCGTTCTTCGTCTCCGACGCGTCCACGACGGCCATGCAGGCTTCCAAGATCGCCCCAGCCCAATGAGGGCCACAAGACGGCCCCAGACAGCCCCAGGGCGGCCCCGGAGACGCCCAAGGCA